TATAACAAAGAGTGAAAAATTTAAGGGGGTCTGAATACTTTCCGTACCCACTGTAAGTCTGCTGGTTCTCTAGGGCACAGCTGGTTGGGCAGAACAGAAAATATGGGTTAAGAAATCAGGAAGGCACATAGCAGTGGACATGACATGGAAAGGCCAGCAGGGAATTGGCCTGGTCACTTGTGATGGCCCAGGAAATAACAAATCTCATGTATTTGATCTTTTAGAAGAGTGATCATTTTTGCATTTGTGGAAAAAAAGGGGGAAAGAAAATCTCTAAGACAGCCAGGCAATGACCATGGAATAACATTATCTTTATTAAAGTTTGTTGTATTTTCAATGACTGTGACATGCAGCTAGACTAAGCCCAGATAAGTTAATGCTTTATTTTGCTAAAAACTACCAACATATAACGTATCAACACTCAGAGTGTGTCAAGGACACATAGGGGTGAAAACATGCACTGGAGGGCACCACACAGGATGTTTATATTTACTCTCAAAAATAATGATCGTGATTTTCTGGGTCTTTGCTAGATTGTTGCTAGGCATTTTGCTAAGGAAATTTTGGTGATTACTAAGATGCTTCTACAACATGTCAAAACAAACTATAGACTTTAAGTAGGGCAAGTCATATTTAATGGGCCATATATTTGCTGTATTTTGGGAATGTACATAATATATTTGGCAGAAGGGGCAAGGTTATATGTGGGAGATTTGCTGGATAATACAACTGCTAAATAAAGAGCAGCTTAAATCACTATGGCCTTCTCCATGACTCTGTAGTGACTTGTAGTATATTGTTTGAGAAATATTCAAATTTGTGACATTCATCATGTGACCCATACAGACAGTTAGACGTTCAGTATGCTCTCAAATCATTCTCAAATCATGCTGGTGAACACTATCATCAAGAAAAAAAAGCATTTTGGCTTCCCCAAAAAATCTTTCAGAACCTTTTTTTTTTCTTAATGTGAAGAACATTTTCTAAAGAGCCTTTTACCATTATAGAGAACCTGTTGTGCAACTGAAAGGTTCCATGGATGTTAAAGGTTCTCCATGGAACCATAGATGCCAATAAAGAACCTTTATTTTTAAGAGTGCATGTTAAATTTGCAAAAAAATTAAGCAGTAATGCCAGTGTTGTAATGTTAGGCTCAATAGACATTCAACAATATCTATTTTAGTTGTTTTATCAGTTACGTTCTTTTTCCATGGAATTGAGACATCCATCATGCCCCATTTCCATGGTAATACATTTACTTTTACATTTAGTCATTTTGCAGACGCTTTTATCCAAAGCGACTTACAATTGGGGAATACATAAAGCGATTCTTCTTAAAGAGGCAAACAGACACAGGAAGTGCTGACATACCAAGTTTTAGGCATTGTTCAAATAAGTACAAGCTAGAAAGGGAAGGAATAAATAAAGATTCCTAGTCTATAATAAGTTGCACAGTCAAGAAATGTTTTCATAAATGCTCCCTTGAGTTTTAAAGAAACTATGAATTTTGGTAATATATTATGTCTAATTTCCTGAGATGTCTTATATGTTTCTAGAACCACTTATTGTTTGTTTTTTTTCTACCATGGGAAATATCAACTGCATTTTAACAAAGTGCCCCCACACCAACCTAACTGTTACAATGTCAGACAGATTTGTTTCATAAATACAAATTCAGTTCTCAAATATATTCAGCTAAGTCATGAATGTATACTCTTGACCAATTGTAACTATATACAGTACAACAGTGTAAGGCACACACAGACAGAATCCTTTTTACTGTGGAATAATGCAGCACGGTTTCATTTACTATTTGAAGGACAGGCAGTATTATAATATTCAGTAAACAGCTTCACACTAGCTCAGCTTAAACAGTAGTCAGAACCTTATCTGTGAGGTCAGAGGTCAAAGTACTTGACTTCCAGAGCCACAAAACACCTCACGCACATGGTTCACCTCTGTTTAACTGATGAGGACCTTAAAGGGGTCATATGATGCGATTTAAATTTTTTCCTTTCTATTTGGAGTGTTACAAGCTCTTGGTGCATAAAGAAGATCTGTAAAGTTGCAAAGACTAAAATCTCAATTTCAAAGAGATATTCTTTATAAAATGTAAGCGTCAACCACGCCTACCTAAAACGGCTCGTTCTAACACGCCCCCACATATCTACGTCACCTATAAGCTTTGTCAAAATCGACACGTTTCAGAAAGGCGGGGCATAGAGGAGAAACATTAATGTACAGTATGTGGAAAATAATGTGTTTCTTTAACCTTAAACCGCATAAACACATTTCATTACACCAAATACACGAGATAATGTTCTTTTTAGCAACATCATATGACCCCTTTAAAACCTCTATGCTTCGCCTGGCCCTCTTCATATAAACCTAAAACTACAAGTTTTGTTCTTGGCTGTAATCTGGCACCTATTTTGTTTTTAATAAATCGCTTTCAGACCTCTACTCGGTTTCTGTCAGAATAGGTGTAATTTATGGATAAACAGGTGGGACATGTCCCAGCCACGTTTTGCCAAGGCTGGATTTGTCCCCAACACTTTTTGAAAGCTCTTCAGTTCCTCTGTTAAAAATGGCTTGCGTTACACGTGTTTCTCAGAGTTGGCGTATAAACCTTATACATAATGAATCATAATTAAATGGCACTCAAAAAACACTGTTTCCCCACCATTAATAGTCTGTGGAAACAGAAATCGGAAAACATTTTTTAATACCCATTTAGAAAAATGAATGGGTAAAAACAAGTCATTCTTCTGAAACATACTTTGTTTCAACGTGTCTCCCAAAATTTCAGATTGTTAGATAAGAGTGCAGAATTCAAACAGACATCTAATATCACTATTAAAGTACAGCATGTTCAAAGGAATTTTTTGGATAATGGTTAGAAGATTTAAGGTGTGCATCGGGCAGATGTTTGACTGATGTATGTTTCGGCTAATGAATGAGTTCAGATCAAGTCAAGGAACAACATATTTCAACCTAAAAAACTCAGCAGGTATACTTCACAACTTATACAGTTAAAATATATATATGCAATTCGGTGGTAAGAGCACTGGATGGCGCTATAGAGCTTTACAAACTGTTAACAGAGTTTGCCATCTAGTGGTTATGTTTTGAAATGTAAAAAAACATGGCTGGATTATGTTCTAAATGAAATTATACAAGTTTAGTGCCTACTCAGAAGTGTGCAGTGTACACTGTATACTGCATACTATTAAAAAGTAGGTGAATCAACTGCATTATGCAACACATGTAGTAGGTTATCCCAGGTGTTGCATGCATACAACAAATGCAAACTTTGCATGATGTATTCTGAAGGAAAATCAAGAGAAGTATGGTAGCTAGCCATGCCATACATAGAAAATATATGTTTTATAGTCAGTAGTTTACAGTCATAAACCAGTCAATGGTTGACATAATAAATGTTTTTGGTAAGTGAATTGATATAAACTTTTAGAGTTTATTATGTCCGTTTATTAACATTGCATCGCAGGTTTAATATTTCAGTGCACTTAACAATGCAATTCACTGTTATAATAATTCACCTTTATCTTTACTAAAAATAATGAGCAGGTGACATTTCTGCTAATGTTTTAGTTAATAGTACAGTAACGTTATATTATGTTTCACTTGTTACACTTAATTAATTCTTAATAAATAAATATAAAAAATGCATGCATGCATACATACATACATAGATAAAAAAAATTAATGAATAGGTAATGCTTTTGATAAAAATCAATGACAATCTATGATCACTCAGTGAGCTGCTTTTCTTTGTGGTGTATAAGTGTAAATGTCAACCTACAGTTATAGGGGTGTCCACATTACTTTATGCTACAGGGGGTGTCAAATTCAGTTCCTGGAGGGCCACTGTCTTGCAGAGTTTAACTCCAATTTTAATTAAACACATCTGAACCAGCTAATCAAAGTCTTCAGGATTACTAGAAACTTCCAGGCAGGTGTGTTGGGGCTGGTTGGAGCTCTGTTTGACGCATGTATATTATGATATAACTTGTGTATTTTATGTTTTAAAATCTGATGATTGCTGACTGTAAATGCACCTACTTTTATCTTATTTAAATCGGTATGTCATTTAAACTAATTTGTAAATTTCTGTATGTGAACTACAGGGATTGCCTGGACCTCTTGGTCCCCAGGGTCCCACAGGCCCTAATGGGCGACCAGGAGACCCTGGTCTCCAGGGCCCTAAAGGAGAGAAGGGAGACCGTGGCAGAGGAGGCCTTATGGGTCCAAAAGGAAGTGTGGTTAGTCTCTCTGTCCTGATCTCCACTTCTGCAGTTATGTAAGAACTTAGAACAATAGGTTTAGATGGAGTTTAAGCCTTTTCATTATCTGCAGCATTCATGTATGACTGACGCTTTTCGCCTCCTAATGGCAGTTGCAATTAAATTTCTAATTGGTCGTGAAGTAGCTGTTAGCCTCTGCTTATTCACCATGGTAAAATGAATGAATATTGAATGAATGAATATATCTACACAAAATAAATTACCTCCAATAAGTCTGAAAGAAAAACATAGTAGGTTTTCTAAGGCTAATCAGTATAAATAATTATGTGATAATTATACAATCTATATTTCGGACATTAGTATTCATAACCGCGCATTTTACAGAAATAGTGATATGAGAATAACATGGTAATTTTCACTTTACATTCTTAGTTTTGATTAGATTATATAATGTACTGTATTTGATTAGATTCAGTCTGAGGGTCTTTTAAGGTCTAGCCACAAAAGTTTAAATATTTCAGTAAAAGAAATAATAAACACAATGTCTCAATGACATTATACATTACTCTTATACATTTAGCCATATTGAGCCTCATTGTACTTTATCATTCTCTTTTAAACAAACTAAAGAGTAGTTCTGAGAGTGGATTAAAGAGTAAAATTTTACATGAGATGAGATGAAATGCTAATGTGTTTGCGGCTTTCTTTAGGGAATGGAAGGTGTTCCAGGGTTTAATGGAGCAGATGGTGTTCCGGTAAGTATGATTTTGTTTATATCCACAGTATTATGTTTAAGGCTGTCATTAGGCACAACATACAGCAGAGTTTTACAAAATGGCAACAACAGAAATATGATAAAAGACACCAATGTTCAATGAATATTTACATTTATTAAACCTAATCAATGAGAATAGACAAGTCTTCCATCCAGTAATATAGTTCAAATACCATAAATACCTTTCCTTAGTTTTGCTCACTGAAGGTAAAACAGAATATGCTGGTCAAATCTTTGTTTCTGATCTCTCATCAGGGCCATCCTGGGCCGTCTGGGCCTCGTGGAAAACCAGGAGCTGACGGCTGTAATGGAACCCGGGGAGAATCAGGAACGCCAGGCATTCCAGGACTCAATGGCGAACCTGGAATATCAGTATGAGCATTAATTTATTTTATTTATGTGTCACATAGTAAATTATTGAGACATTACACGGGATCTATGCATAATCTAACCCATACTGCTTTTATTTTCTCACACACTCATTTTCAATCACTTTGTCTCTGTGTACCTGTCTGTCTGTAATTTTAATATTCTGTAGGGTCGGCCAGGAATGAAGGGGGAGAAGGGTGACCCTTTGGAGATGTGGGTTTATATGGAAAGATTCAGGGTAAGAGGAACTAGAAGTTTCACCAGAGGATACAATACCAGAAACCAGAGGCAATATTTTGGTTGATCCAGAAGTTTACCTTAAACCTTTATTATGTATACATTTACTATAAATTAAGATGACATAAATGCATACGGTATAATTAAATAAAAATGCATCATTATTTTCTGACGTATTATAGGGAGATCCAGGACCACCAGGTTTTCCAGGATTTATTGTAAGTTTGACTTTTATCAGTTGTCTTGTGATAACAGAAACTGACCCATCAGGGATGTTTTCTAAAACATTAAATTTCACTCTTACAGGGACCAACTGGTAACCCAGGGTACAGAGGACTGCCAGGATTTCAAGGTCCTTGGGTGAGTTAGTCACACGCACAATAAAATTACTGTTATAATAAAAGTACTGTTATAATTAGGGCTGTCTATGTAAAATGTTAATTTGGTGTGATTAGGGCTGGGCGATAAAATTATAACAATAATTATCACAATATATTTCGCCCTTGATAAAACGATAACACATGTTCGATAAATGTTTGATATAATGTGTATGCACCAAAAGTATAATGAAACTGCGTTAATGGCACCACACAAACCAATTATCAGCTCGGCTGAAACGGCAGCGCAGCACAAGGAGACGAGTTGACTCGTCTCAGTCACGTGACCAGCGCTGTGAGATCCATCGAGAAGTGCTTGAATTCAGCGAAGAACACAAATGTCTCAGTGATTTCTAGTTTAAAGCCAGATGAAACAGCGCTGACAAACATGAGAAATATTGTGCCATGAACAATCCTGTTAGAAGGCTTTTCCATGGATTTACTGTATTAATGCTAGCTGCACCATGGTATATTGTGGCAGAAAGGTGGGATATACATATGGAATTTTATTATATTATTCATGTAGGCATGTATTAAATGTATTACAGGAGTAATGGTTGTTATTAAGCTATAGCATTTGTGCATTTGTATTTATACTAAATGTATTTATTTAGGCTACTGTTTTCATACAAATACCATAAAAACCATATAGTTACATTCTATCATGGTGGTGAGGTGCTATGTGGGGTTTTTCCTTTGATTATCGTGATCTAATTGTTTGATACTATAGATGACCAATTGTTAATTTTAATAAAAGTAGAGTCCTATCTCGAACTGTCAGAATATTTCAGTTTTACCCTATAAAAATGAGGTTGTTACAATTTGTACAGAGGTTACTGTTTTTGTTTGTTTATGAACATTTACATCTGCACCGTGCCATCAAAATCAGGGAGCACAAACCTTTTTCATGATTTGAAAAAATATGATTTCTACAACTTTCACTCAGGAGTAGAAATCTGCCTTTAAACTGGAAAGAAATGAAGATTTGATATTTATTGTGATAATTATTGATATCGTGATCATTTTTTGGGTCATATCACCCAGCCCTTGGTGTGATTAATTATGGAAAAAATTAACACATTTAACACACCCTGACCCGACCCAAACTTGTACATATTCTTACATTATGTGCAGTTACTGATAATCATGATGCATGATGACAGCTGACTGTGTGATGTAGCCTATTAGAATGCAGTTATATGCCACTATAATTCAAGATACAAGGGCAATTATGTTTATATGGGCAATTGTCTTATATTTATATTTATATCATATGATATATGCTTCATTCATTCATTCATTCAAAGTTCAACAACATCACACAAAGAAGAGTGCTGTTTTTTTCCTGAATATCTGTACATTTGAAAGTGACATTGATTTTATACAACATTTAAATAAAAAATAAGTTAATATTGTGTGACATTTTAAAGACAATATGTCAATCTGCTTTTGCTCAATTTCGCCAATGAAAATAGTTGCAAACAAAGTCGCAACGTAACTGTTGTGCCTTTCCAAACAGCACTCAGCAGTGTTTCATTACTGAATGAATCCATGTTTTTGAACAAATCAAGTGAGCCAATGAATCAGGGATCCATTCATAAAGACACTCACTTGCTTTTTTCTGAATGAATCAGCTATTTTAACAAATGTCATAGCATTATTTATGCAATTCTACTTGCAGTGTAAATGCATTCATGACACCTCTGAACAGTCTGTGTAATTATACCTAAACGCCAATTCAAATGAAACATATGAAAACAATGTTATGACATATGATACATTTGATATATTTGTTTCTACAGCTACTTTTTGTAATGTCTATTCAAGGTTTTTTTTTTTCTCATTTAACACAGTAATGACTTTAAATTAACTTTTGGGGGGTAATTTCTCAGCCTAAATTGATGTGCAATTAATTAGCAATTAATTTGATTTATTAATCGGCACATCATGTAATTAATTAGTTTAAAGGGGTCATATGATGCGATTTCATTTTTTCCTTTCTTTTTGGAGTGTTACAAGCTCTTGGTGCATAAAGAAGATCTGTAAATTTGCAAAGAAATTGTTAGACAGCCCAAGTTATAATCATGACAACTCTTGTTATAATATAAGTACTGCTTGCTTTTTTTTTTTTTCAAATCTACCATCACTTCTTCTTACTGTTTTATCTTTCTTTAGGGTCCTACTGGCATTAAAGGTGTTAAAGGACAAAAGGTAGTAAAACACAATGATTTGGTTAATTTTATGAAAGATTTACTTTCATGTTTTATGACAGCATATTCTAGTGTGTCCTCTTTACATCACTTTAGTAAATAAACATCTTCCATTTTATGTTAATGTGTTGTCTCTGTACAGGGTGAAAGCACTAAAATGTTAAAAGGAGTCAAAGGAGAAATGGTGAGACAAATATTTAGTGTCTTATGTCAGACTAATATTATGGCCTATTATCTGCACTGTTAACCCATATGGATTTTATATCCTCACCACAGGGGGAGAATGGAGAGCCGGGCCTTCCAGGACCTTACTCACAAACCCGTCCAGTCCCTTCAGAATGGCAGGCAAGAAGAAAATTAGTTCATGAAAATATTACAAATATTTTATCTCAGTGGAGCAAATGATCTCTGTACTATCATTTTTCTTTCATATGTCTTTCATTTGTTTTAACAGGGTGAAAAAGGCTTGAAAGGTTATAAAGGAGAACCAGGAGATTTGGTGGGTGGTATTTGAGCTTTTTTTAACACAAAAATGATTTTTTGGAATGAAAACCCTGCCTTAAAAAAGCTAATTTCGTTTTTGATTGAGTGTGATATAATGTTTAGTGTGATTGATGGAACATAATTGTTGTCTAATTTTATTGGTCTGTAACGTTTGTAGATCGGGTAGAAGGAGGCGGGAACCGGCGAACACTTAAACATTTTAATAATAAAATAACCAAACACAAAATAGCGCGACAGCCCCTCGCGGACGACTTTTCGGCACCAATGTAACAAACTTTCGTAGGTCGGGAAGAAGGAGGCGTGAACCGGCGGACATTCAAAGAAACTTTAATAAAATAAACAAACACAAAATAGCGCGACAGCCCCTCGCGGACGACTGTCGCGCACAAACGAAACCAAAACCCAAAATAAACTCCAGGCCTGGTCCTCTCTCGTCCTTCACTGTCGTCCCTCCTCCTTTTTATCCTTCCGGAGATCCTCCGTGAGACTCGAGACCGGTGAGTGGTGCAGGTGTCGCGCATTAGCAATTACTCCCGCCCCTCTCGTCACATGGTCATATAAAGTATATTATTGTAATGTAATCCTGAGTTTTGCAGATGGTCTTTCCTCATTCAAGTAGATAAGAGTGACTTAAAAATAGCTGGCAAGGTCGCCACCGAGTGAACCTACAGGGACATTGGCAGCATCTTGATAATTTTTTATTATTATTATTTCAGGGATATTTATCTACCAAAGGAGAGACTGGTGTGTCAGGGTTTCCAGGACAACGGGTATGATTGATTAGGAGTTGAAATCTCTGTATTAACCCTATGCAAAGACTTTAAAAAAAATAAAACATTTCTGATCTGTACTTTTTTTGGATAGGCACACATATTCAACATTTTTGTCTAAAATATTTAACCAATTCTTATTAATTACAGGGAAACCCAGGACTAAATGGCTTTCCAGGACCTAGGGTACATAATTTTGATCATTTTCCCAACAGTGCATTGACTTTTGTGGATTTTTTGTGGACTTCTTAATTTTTTGTGGATTTCTTAAAATCTCTTTCCATTCCTACAGGGTGACATTGGACTACCAGGTTTCCCAGGAAATTATGGTCGCAAGGTATAAATCCATTTCTGGTTTAGTGCTATTTCTTGTCATACCTTACCATTCAATCTGCATCAAAATTTTATGACCTAAATGCATATCATTCAACAGGGAGATAGAGGAGAACCTGGAGAGCTGATTGGTCCTTTTGAAGATACTGGAGGTACTAAAAATAATGCGCTTAAGATTATAGCTGTTTATTACACGGCTCTGTGGAATACTTGATTCTGATTGGTCAGTCACAACATTCCGAGGTATGTTATCCCTTGACAACAACCGTTAAAAGCTGATGACACAGGCTCATCCGGGTAACTGAAGTCGGTGCTATACTCTTGCTAGGAACAGTTTTTTCATGGTGGAAGATTTGTGTTTGTTTAGCTAAAAAAATATTAAAACTCGATTCAAAATTGTGTACAATTATTTAATTATGTCATCCTGGTATCCGCGGACTTGCTCTCTCGTTTGATACAAACGCAGCTGCTGCCATTTTGCGATGATTGTTTTGCACACTGTAATGGATTATAAGATAACTAACAAACTGGTAAGATTTTAAAACATTTTCGTCTTAAATCAATGTCTTTAATCTTTTATAGCCATAATTATTTATGTGGTGAAATGTTGTGTAATAAGTGGTGTGACTGCACCGTATCCCTTATATATCCGTCTAGTTTGAACTTGCCGCTTGCTCGCAACTGCTGTCTTCTCTGAAGCTTTGCATTCAAATATTTCAACTCAAATCAATATTTAATGTTTAATTATTTACTTTTGTGGCAAGTAGCCGTGTAATAAGTGGGATAATGTACATCCTCCGCTTCGCGTTGGGGTCCTGATCACCCTGTCGGGGGTTATTCTGCGATAACAACAGGCTGGATGTACATTATGCCTTACTTAATATCTGCTGTTTTAATAGTCCTAATCTGATTTTCAACATACAATCCAGTTTCCCAATACTTTCTCAAAATTTTTCTTTCTTTGCTTCTGTCTGTTTCTCTTGCTTATATAGTGGGTCCTCCAGGACCTCCGGGAGAGCGTGGCCCAATTGGAGAGTATGGTCCTAAGGGTACTAAAGGACTGCCGGGTCCCCCAGGCCCCCCTCCCTCTGAACAACAACCAGGTATTTTTCAATCTAAAATGGAAATTCTTTTATTATTTATTCACCCTCATGTTGGTGTCTTCAAGGAGACACAATGAGAAGTTTTGACGAGTAATGCTGCTCTTTGCCATGCTTTGCATTCAATGAAATGGCTTGGATATCATTCCCGTTGTGAGATAAAAATAACCCAAAATTGACATTAACATTTACTCTTAATCATTTAGTAGACGCTTTTATCCAAAGTGACTTGCGATTTAGGAGAACAATAGAAGCAATCAGACCAACAAGAGGGCAACAGTATACAAGTGTCTCAGTTAGTCTAGCACAGTGCACTTAAAATAGGTTTTTTATTTTATTTTATTAAATTAGAAATAACAGATAGAATAGAATAAAATAGAATAGAATAGAATAGGTAAGTGCTAGTATTAATTGGTCAAGTGCTGATGAAAAAAAAATGTTTTTAGACGTTTTTTTTTTAAACGGCTAAAGACTCAGCTGCTCGAATTGAGATAGGCAGGTCATTCCACCAGCTGGGAACAGTCCAAGAAAAGGTCAATGAGAGTGATTTTGTTCTTTGGAATGGCACCACGAGGCGTTGTTCACTTGCAGAATGCAAACTTCTGGAGGGCGCATAAGTCTGAACTAGTGAGTTTAGTTATATTGGTGCAGAGCCAGTGGTTGTCTTGTAGGCAAACATCAGTACCTTGAATTTGATGCGAGTTGCTCTTGGAAGCCAGTGTGAACTGATGAATAGAGGTGTGACATGGGCTTTCTTCGGCTCGTTGAAGACCAATCTCGCTACTGCCTTCTGGATCAGTGGCAGAGGCTTAATAATACATGCCAGAAGGCCCGCCAAGAGAGCATTACAATAGTCCAGTCTGGAGAGAACAAGAGCTTGGACAAGGAGTTGTGTGGCCTGCTCTGATAGGAAGGGTCTAATCTTCCTAATGTTGTATAAGACAGATCTGCAGGATCGGGTCGTTGTAGCAATGATCTGTGAAGGTTAACTGATCATCAATCACAACTCCAAGGTTCCTAGTTGCCCTGGAAAGAGTTATGGTTGACAAACCTAGCTGTATAGAGAAGTTGTGATGAAGTGCTGGGTTTGCTGAGACCACGAGCAGTTCTGTCTTAGCAATGTTGAGTTGAAGGTGAAGCTTCGTCCAGCCAGAAATGTCTGTCAGACAGGCTGCAATGCGCACAGCTACCGTTGGATCATCTGGTTGGAATGAGACGTAGAGTTGTGTGTCATCAGCATAGCAGTGATAGGAAGAGCCATGTTTCTGAATGACAGATCCTAATGATGACATGTAGATGGAGAAGAGAAGTGTTCCAAGCACTGAGCCCTGAGGAGCCCCAGTAGCAAGAAGTTGTGACTAAGAAACCTCACCCCTCCAAGACATCCTGAAGGACCTACATGAGAGGTAAGACTTGAACCACTGGAGTGTGGTTCCTGAAATGCCCATCTTCATGAGGGTAGACAGGAGGATCTGGTGGTTAACCGTGCCAAAAGCAGCAGAGAGATCCAGCAAGATGAGTACTGAGGATTTGGAAGCTGCTCTTGCCAGTCTCAGGGCTTCAGTAACCGAGAGCAGGGCAGTCTCAGTTGAGTGGCCACTTTTGAAGCCAGATTGGTTGTTGTTCAGGAGGTTGTTCTGTGTGAGAAACATAGAGAGTTGGTTGAACACAACTCGCTCAAGTGTCTTTGTAATGAATGGAAGAAGGGATACCGGTCTATAGTTTTCTAAAAGTGTTGGATTTAAAGAGGGTTTCTTAAGCAGTGGGGTTACCTGAGCCTGCTGGGGGAAATGCATCAGTGTGAAGAGAGGTGTTGATAATGTGAGGGAGCACAGGTATCACTGAAGAAGAAGTGGCCTGAAGCGGGTGAGTGGGGATTGGATCAAGCGAACAGGTAGTAGAATGATTGGAAATAATAAGTTTGGAAACGTCTGCCTCCGAGAGTGGAGAGAAGGAGGAGAGAGATTGTGTATTTTTTGTGATCATGTATTTGTCAGTTTGTGGTGTGGAGAATTGGCCACTGATGGTTGTTGAAGAAGTTACCCAGTTGACCTGGGGGATGATAAACAACTACAAAATGGATTTTAACAGGGTGGGTAATAGTAATTGCGTGTGATTCAAAAGAACTGTTACCAGTTAGAGATGGTAAAGGATCAAATTTCCATTCATTTGAGATTAGCAGACCAGTACCTCCACCCCTCCTGATCAGGCGAGGGTTTGGGAAAAAGTGAAATTAGTGAAGAGGACTGCAGGAGTGGCAGTGTCCTCAGGTTTGATCCAGGTCTCAGTTAGGGCCATGAGGTTAAGACTTGAATGAGTAGCAATAGATGAAATAACGTCTGCTTTGTTTACAGCAGACTGGCAGTTCCAGAGACCAATTGGAATAGAGAGAAAAGTAGTAGAGGACATGGGGACAGTATGCAGATTGTAAGGATTGCGCTGCCTCCCACGTACACAGCGTAATTTACGAGTGTTTGTAGTAACAGTAGAGATTTGAAAGCAGATAGTGAGTACAATTGACTAAAACAAGCAGATGAGAACAAGCTGTACAAAAAGTAAAAAAGGGGGGGAAAAGCAATACTCAAGTGCCTTGTCTGTGTCCTTGCTTAGTGGAGTCGCGCAGGTAGAGTCTTTACACTCTTTGGTCTTCACACGAGGGCTGCCGCGGTGTACTAACCAATTATATACTCTCCTGATACCTCGTTTCTAAACAGGTAAACAGTATACACTGAAACATGTTGCCCTCTTTCAAAACTCTCAATTTGATTCACACTTTTGTTGTCAAAAATATAGATTTTTCAATACATATTTATTCTGAATATTTGAAGTGACTTCAGTACTCATTTTCCGCAGTAACGATACACCAGTAACAGCTGCAATTTTTGTCGCTCTGTTATAACTCCAAAAGTGTATTGAAAATGGTATTGGATATTGATGTCTTTAAGTTATTATTATATCAGAGTTAGAAATTCTAGTATCCTGAAAACACTAATTCAAAGAGTAGTCAAACTTGCTGTATCACAATAGGTGACATGTCACACAAAGCCAATGGCAATTCAACATCGACATCAAACGTCAAACTCATCTTTCTGACAGGTTTGAGAGTAAAACTTTAGAAGATTTTTAGCACATGCGTCATATGAACCTCTTTTATGATGCTTTTTCTGACGTTTTTGGAGTTTGACAGTTATTTTGTTCATCTACAGAAGAAAGAAAGTCATTTGGGATTGGCATTAAAAATAAAATCATAATAAATCATTTTTGAGTGAACTATTTAACACTATTTTCAAACACATATGGGCTTAGACATTACTTTAACCAAACTCTGTCACTGATATTATTGTTTCTCTGATCCACAGTGGATTTGTGGGGTCCAGAGGGACCACGTGGACCAAAGGGAGCCAAAGGTGATGCTGGAGAACCTGGTAATCCTGCCACTCATCCTGGGCCACCTGGCCCCGATGGGCTTCCTGGATTTCAAGGACCTCCCGGACCCAAGGGATCATGTAGGTGAATTTTCAAACCAGAACGAAACCTGGTGCCATGACTAAATGTCATGCTAATAAAGCATTGTATATATATATATATATATATACACTAATATTGTGAAATAGTATTACAATTTAAAATAAATGTTTTCTATTTTAATATATTTTAAAATGATGCAAAGCTGAATTTTCAGCATCATTACTCCAGTCTTCAGTGTCACATGATCCTTCAGAAATCATTCTATTATGCTGATTTGTTGCTCAAGAAACATTTCTTGTATTATTACCATTAGCAATGTTGAAAACAGTTGTACAGCTTAATATTTTTATATAGAAAGCCATTTATTTGAAATAGAAATATTGTGTAACAATGCAAAACTCTTTATTGTCATTTTTTATCAAATTTAGAGCATCCTTTCTGAAAAGAGACTTTGGTAATACTGAATAATATGAAGACGTACTGAAGACTTTATTAAAGACTATGTGTCTTGATACAGTGGAAGAATTCTTCAAAGGAGCACCAGGACCACGTGGACGTCCAGGAAATGCAGGAAAAAAGGGACCAAAGGGTAAGATCAGTGCTTAAGTTAATAAACTGCTGGGATGATTTGCATGGCCAAGATGCTATGAAGATAGCCTTGCTGCTGACATGACATGAATGCATGAATGTCCAAGATCATGTCATGTTGTGCATGACATTGTGGGAAACTTAACTGTTTTTAGAGCAGAATGAAGAATGCTTCTCTCTTCTCTAGAAACACAGCAGGTGTTTGTTGTTGACATTTGTCAGTCTTTGCTAATCCTGCTGTACTGGTAATTATATTTATTATTTGATCAGGTGACCATGGTCTGTGCGAATGCACTGTAAAATCCACACCTGGTCCTGCGGGTCCTCCTGGTGATGCTGGGGACATTGGCATGGCAGGAGAGTGGGGTCAGCATGGTGATCAGGGAGATCCGGGACCCAGAGGCGTGGATGGTGTACCTGTAAGTAGACATACACCATGTCTTCATATCATGCCTTGTTAAAAGATAGTTCACCCCAAAATGAAAACTCTGTCATCATTTACTTACCCTCAAGTTGTTCCAAACCTGTATGATTTTTGGTGGTACCTGTATGTTGGTAACCAAACAGATGACGGTAGACGTTGACTTCCATAGTATAGAAAAAAAATACTATGGAAGTCAATGGCTACCGGCAACTGTTTGGGTACCAACATATTTTCAAATATCTTATTTTGTGTTTAACAGAAGAAAGAAACTTATACAGGTTTGGAACAACTTGAGAGATGCAAAGCTGAATTTTCAGCATCATTACTCCAGTCTTCAGTGTCACATGATCCTTCAGAAATCATTCTATTATGCTGATTTGTTGCTCAAGAAACATTTCTTGTATTATTACCATTAGCAATGTTGAAAACAGTTGTACAGCTTAATATTTTTATATAGAAAGCCATTTATTTGAAATAGAAATATTGTGTAACAATGCAAAACTCTTTATTGTCATTTTTTATCAAATTTAGAGCATCCTTTCTGAAAAGAGACTTTGGTAATACTGAATAATATGAAGACGTACTGAAGACTTTATTAAAGACTATGTGTCTTGATACAGTGGAAGAATTCTTCAAAGGAGCACCAGGACCACGTGGACGTCCAGGAAATGCAGGAAAAAAGGGACCAAAGGGTAAGATCAGTGCTTAAGTTAATAAACTGCTGGGATGATTTGCATGGCCAAGATGCTATGAAGATAGCCTTGCTGCTGACATGACATGAATGCATGAATGTCCAAGATCATGTCATGTTGTGCATGACATTGTGGGAAACTTAACTGTTTTTAGAGCAGAATGAAGAATGCTTCTCTCTTCTCTAGAAACACAGCAGGTGTTTGTTGTTGACATTTGTCAGTCTTTGCTAATCCTGCTGTACTGGTAATTATATTTATTATTTGATCAGGTGACCATGGTCTGTGCGAATGCACTGTAAAATCCACACCTGGTCCTGCGGGTCCTCCTGGTGATGCTGGGGACATTGGCATGGCAGGAGAGTGGGGTCAGCATGGTGATCAGGGAGATCCGGGACCCAGAGGCGTGGATGGTGTACCTGTAAGTAGACATACACCATGTCTTCATATCATGCCTTGTTAAAAGATAGATCACCCCAAAATGAAAACTCTGTCATCATTTACTTACCCTCAAGTTGTTCCAAACCTGTATGATTTTTGGTGGTACCTGTATGTTGGTAACCAAACAGATGACGGTAGACGTTGACTTCCATAGTATAGAAAAAAAATACTATGGAAGTCAATGGCTACCGGCAACTGTTTGGGTACCAACATATTTTCAAATATCTTATTTTGTGTTTAACAGAAGAAAGAAATTTATACAGGTTTGGAACAACTTGAGAGTGAGTAAATGATGACAGAATTTTCAATTTTTGGGTGAACTTTCCCTTTAAGATCACATGAGATACGAAAATCGTTGCATGCGCCAATGCAAAATGCATTTGCATTGTCAATTTTTTACATTTTTACATTTTACAGGGTTTCTCTGGTGCAAGAGGATTGCCTGGACCCAAAGGCAGAAAAGGAGAGCTGAGAGCCGCTACAGAGAAAGGTGTAATAATCTTCTGTTACATGTTTAGATACACATGAGAGTAGATATATATTTTATTATTTTTATTATTTCACTTGTGAAATACAGGACTACCGGGTGACCCTGGGGACCCAGGTGCTAGTGGTTTCCCAGGAGAGCAAGGAAGGCCTGGATTTGATGGCAAAGATGGTGAACCAGGTCTTCAAGGATCTTCTGTGAGTCTAGCATATCTGATCACTCAAAAACACCTCTAATTAGGAGACCACAGTTTTAACCACAGTATGCATTGTAATTCACAAGTATTGACATGCTTATTTTCCTTCAGGGAGAAGGTCCTGTAGGTGAGCCTGGAGGGAAGGGATACCCAGGTTGGCCAGGTCCTCCAGGTCTAATAGGTCCGATAGGACAACCCGGTCAAGTTCTTGGAGCAACTAAAGGTGTAAGGGGCCTTACTGGAGATGAAGGACAAGTTGGTATTGATGGAAAACAAGGGTCACCTGGTGCTCCAGGTGTGTAGCAGTGTTATTTTAGTATCATTAATATAATATTATAGTTTTTGTTAATATTTTGAATTTGATTGTATTTTGATATGTTCTGTTTTCACACTGGTTTTAGTAATTTTGTAGTGTTTTGTCACTTTTAGCATTGTTTAAAGTGTTTGATTTTATTAATTGAATTAGTTTTAGTTGAGAAATGTTGCATTGGCAACTAGCTGAAATAAGTTTTATTTTTATTTCAGTTAACATTTATTTTATTTCAATATTTTAATGGTTTTATCTTTAGTTAACAATGAGAACCCTGGTGTTTAAATATACTGAGATTCGTCTTAATCTTTTACCTTTCTTTTATCCTTTCTATTCATATCTATCTTACGTGTGTCTTACAGGAGATTGTAGCCCACAAGGAGGAGATCAGTGGAATATTCTAGGTAGAGTTCTCTCTCCTGTCTTAGTGCTTCACCACATAGTAGTCATTCCACCATGTATGGTCACCAATAAACATACTTTAGCATTATTAATCAAGTCATCAGATTAATTTTATTATTTTTGCAAGTAACTCTGCTTAATGCACAGACTCGATTCAAACTTCAGTGTTAGGTGTCCTGTCTATTAATATTATTATTATTATTTGTGAGCTTTATACTTTTAGATTTCTGGTTCTAGTTTGTGTAATTTCATTTTGCTCCATACAAAGCAAAATTTAAGATCAAGCGTGATTTTTATGCAATATTTAAAACTTGTGTTTTTATGTTGTCCATCATATTAATCTTTATTATAGTGGAATGTATTGGAGATCCCGGGCCACCAGGAGAGATAGGGCAGCCTGGACTTCCAGGATTCAGTGGATTTCCTGGTAATGGATGTATTATTGTACATGTTTTCACACAAAAAAACCCCTCTAATAATTAATTAATTTCCATTATGTTCTAGGACTGCAAGGTGCTAAAGGCATACAAGGTCTTTCTGGAGAACCTGGGGCCAAAGGAGAGAAAGGTGAACCAGGAAGAGGAGGCCCACCTGGGCCAAGAGGTAAGCATTGGGAGGCCTGTGTGTTTCTTTACATTTTATTGAATCATTCTTAAGTATACCTATGTCTGTCTCCTTTTCTCAGCTCTGATCATTTGATTTCAACCACATAGGTTTTGTTGGACCTCGGGGCGACTCAGGTTATCCTGGCTCCAAAGGTGTGGAAGGAACTCCAGGCCTTTCTGGTACACCAGGTTTGGATGGTGCTCCAGGGGAAAAGGGTGAGCATGGTGAAGTTTTAGGAGCATCTTCTGGAGCCCCTGGAGTCCCAGGACTACCAGGACAGAGGGGTGTCATTGGTCTTCCAGGAGACCCAGGACCTCAAGGACACCCGGGTGAGAAACCCACCTGTCAAACCCATAATGATGGACATATGCTGAAGCTGTATAGCCATCAAACTATATAAAACTATTTCAAACTTTCAGTCAAGGCTTTGCCAAGCTAACTTTCAAAGTTTGTCTTGGCAAACATTCCTTCTACTGTTTCTTCCTATTGCATATTAAGGACATAGTTTTTAAAAATAGTTTGAGAGTGTCAGTAAAACAAATAAAATGTATGATTTATTATTAGTAGTAGTAGTAGTTTATTTGCATTTTATTTTTTGTGGATAGAGTATTGTTCCATGTTGAATTTTAGTCTTACATTTTAAATGTTGTAGTCATGATAAAAAGCAATTTTTTTCTGTGATTGTGAATCCTACATAAAAAAACAAAACATTTATGCCACCACATGCATCTTTTTATGCTGGTTATATGAAACTTCTGTGTCTCCACCCCAGAAGCTCAAAAGTGAAAGTCCGACCCGTGCCTGTGATTAAGATAAACCGGTTGTTCTTTAGAGTCACTAAAGGATGCAATGTCACACAGGTATGGAGGGAATGCCAGGTATGATAGGCCTTAAGGGTGAAAGTGGCCCTCCAGGTCTTCTAGGAGAGATAGGAAGACCTGGACCGCCAGGAACATTTGGCTTTCCTGGGCAGTCTGGTCAAGTAGGACCTCCCGGACCATCTGGAAAAACCGGAGAACCAGGTAACTCAACTGATGCTAAAAACCTAGGTTAAAAAAATCAGAGAATCACCCAGTGTATTAAACTCTTATTAGGGGCTTTTGCACCGGGTGGTTATAGGAACTCAGTTATAGGAAGTAGCCACCATGGTGGTCCCTAGAGACCCTAGGGCCATTTTCTTGGTTGCATTCGCACCCCCAGTAGGAACTCTAAAGTGATGTAAGCCGACCGACAGTGGCATTCAACAACACCAACATCTGGAGGATGGAGAAGTGCATGGACTTCAATGTTGGTCCATCTATCACTGTTTTCCATGTTCGTGGATTTAGTTTTTTTTTAAAGTAAGTATGTGTAAACTGTGTTAACATAGCTTTTTAAAAATGCCGGGTGCTAATGTTTCGTATGGCATGCGTGTACACTTACGTCACTGGTAGTTCCTATTGTGCTGGGTTAGACCCCACTCAGAAACAGGAGCTTATTTAGTCCCTCCAAAGGGTGTTCCTATAGCTAAACTCACTCCCAGTTCCTGCAGTGCGAACACGTCAAAAAGCAGGTACTTCTCCAATAGTTATAAGAACCATGAAAACGTTCCTCCGGTGTGAATGCCCCTATTGACTGATTTTCGTTCACTCTCGGGTCTAACTCTACAATATAAATCATTAAATTGTTTTCATTTGTATGGAATATCACGGATCCTATGGTCTTATCCTGAACCTATCCTGGTTCAGAAACATACTTCAGTCAAGTGTGTCCAAACATTTGACTGGTAGTGCATATTATACATTACATTTGATTTCATTGGAATGAAGCAAAACCTTTTTCTCCCGACAATGCTCAAATATACTGGGTCTCTGTAGGTCCAAGTGGAGAAAGGGGATATCAGGGAGACCCAGGCCTTCCTGGGCCCAGAGGAGTAAAGGGTGTCACTGGAGAACCAGGAAATGTTGGTCTTCCAGGCAATTTTGGGCCCCCAGGAGATCCAGGACAACAGGGGCCATTTGGTTTTGATGGTTTTCCAGGGTTAAAGGGTAACTTGCCCTTTCTACTTCATTTGATATGTTATGTTGATATGTTATATTCATTTGATAATTGTCAGACTTTATTATGCATAACAAAAAGTTTGCAATAAGCATATATTTTGATACATTGATCATTGAAATATTGATTGAGCAATATTTTGATCATTGATGGTGCTTAAACAAAAAATTATAAATGGAATTAATTGAGTGCTGCAATGTTTCTTGACAATAAAGGTTCCAGAGGTGGTCAGGGCATGATGGGTTTCACTGGAATGCCAGGTGAGACAGGTCTGAAGGGCTTTTCGGGACAGAAAGGAACAATAGGTGATCCAGGACAACAAGGTGCAAAAGGACCTCCTGGCCCTCCAGGTGAAAAAGGTCAATAAAGAGCATGATTCTCTTTGTGTGTACATACACAATATGTAATCTAATGGTATCATGGTCATATCATACTGTTTTCCCCACTTACATGGTCTACATATAAAGTTAATAATTCCATAATTTAGTATTTCATGACCATGTTCTGTTCTGTTAAAAAATTTTTTCATGTAATATTGTTTTTAGCATTCCTTTCTTTTGTAACAAATTTGTAAAACAATTTGTGCTGAAATGTGCTGCACAAACCTAAGATCACACTGAAATTATTTGCAACTTGTATTTGGGAGCTTGTACTAGGGAGCAAATTTTTTCTTGTGATATGACATCTTTAATATAGTAATTGTCATCATTGTAGTCTTCTACATAATGTATTCTTGGTGGGTTTTGAATGTCTTGTCAATGCTTGTTCTGAAGGTGAGAGAGGGTTGGTGGGGCGTCCAGGTGAAAAGCCAATCATACATATAACACCACATATGAAAGAGGTCATGAAGGGAGCTAAAGGTGACCATGGAAAAATGGGAGATCATGGCTTCACTGGTCCCAGAGGTGAGTACATTCATATTAATTTACTACTCAAGGGCACACAGAGTAACTTACCAGTGATAATTTCGTTGACGAATAAATGTTCGTCAACGACATTTTTTTCACTGACGACAACGAGACGATAACTAACTAAAACTCTTTTTGAATGACAAAAACTATGACGAAAATATATTGACATTTTCGTCAACTAATAAAAACGGGACGAAAATGTTAGGGAGGGACGATTTGGGAAGAGCAAGAGAGAACTCATTTCGGTCCGGTTTTCTGAGCGCAGACACTGAGGCATACACACACAGAAACGCGTCTCACAGCGAGCGAGTAGGCCTACTCTTTCACGTCGCATGAATGGAGAATTACACACAAAATTATGTCGAATTGTCCGTTTTGACGAGTATTCACGTAAACACAGTTGATTACGTCTTCAGTGAACGTAAACGGCAGGGAGAACGTGTATCGGCACATTGCATCCATTGCAGCTGTGCATTCGGTTTTAAAGGGATAGCAGCCTAATTTAGTTGCTATTGTCCGAGTCATTGATGTTAATCAAGCAACAAAAGAAAGACAGAAAATCACGCACTGCTCTTGACTGAAAAACTTTAGTAGCCTAACTTACTTAATATGAACTACAGAAGCTATGAGAGCTCTGAATGTTATAAAGACTGTGGCCTGACTGGATACTGTATACCAGGGCTGTCCAAACTCGGTCCTGGAGGGCCAGTGTCCTGCAGAGTTTAGCTCCAACCCTAATTAAACACACCTGAACCAGCTAATCAAGCTCTTACTAGGCATAGAAACTTCCAGTCAGGTGTGTTGAGGCAAGTTGGAGCTAAACTCTGCAGGACACCGGCCCTCCAGGACCGAGTTTGGACAGCCCTGCTGTGTACAGTACAATTGCCATGTTAATCAGAATTTGTTCATATGCCAATTATTTATATTTCTGCATATGGTCAGTGTGGAATCACAAGAACTTTGCTAATGTGAATAGAACAACACGATTCCTTTCAGTCACCTATAGCTTTTCTTTCAACTTGCCTTTGGCCAGGTACAAAAGGTCTACCAGGTGTTCCAGGAAAGGAGGGTAAAGATGGACATCCAGGTGAGCCCAGTGAAACAAAAGGTACTAGAGGTCTTCCCGGAGTAGAAGGACTTCCAGGGCCTAAGGGGATGCCAGGGCTTACAGGACTTCCTGGAATTGAGGGTTTTCCTGGATTGCCTGGACCCAAAGTATGATAATGAGCTCCATCTCTCTCTGAAAACCATTTATAAAAACATTGCACAGAATCTCCTTGTATATGGTGTCCTGTTAAAATGTTTTGAATGTTCTGCTTTTTGTCATTGTGGCACATTGTGTTTAAAATGCAGGGTGGCAAAGGCTCATCTGGTGCCTATGGACGGCCTGGAGAATCTGGAATCAAGGGAATAAAAGGTGCTCATAAATAAACCTCTGAAATGTCCATGCTATACTTAATGTATTACTTTCTCATACTCTTTAAATAAACTGCCAAAAAGGTTTATGTAAGAATCTTTTATTTAAGGTGTCTTGGGTCCTACCATCAGTCTTCCAGGATCAACTGGACTGAGAGGTGAAACTGGGCTGCCTGGATCTTTAGGTAAGGAATTTCTATATTCTATAGTGCATCAAACACAATTATGATCTTTTACTGTCCCTATTATTGAACCGCTTCTTCAATGAGTTTTTAATGTACATTGGTTAGGTGAAAAGGGACTCACAGGTCAGTCTGGAGACAGAGGAAGTCCTGGTTTTAATGGCATTGAAGGGATGAAAGGCTATCCAGGAGAACCTGGAAAAGTTGGACCACCAGGTACAAGAGTCTTGATCATTATCCTTTGATTTCATTGTTTCTGAAAAAAAAGTTTTTGACTGGATCAACTTTTTCATCAGGTTCTGATGGCCTACAAGGTTTCCCAGGAACCCAGGGTCATAAGGGCTGGCCTGGCGTGCCTGGACAGACAGGAACCCCTGGAATCCAAGGCCAACCAGGACAAAAAGGTCTGTAGTTCTAATTGTCATATTTAATACCTATGCAGATTTGCCTTATGTGTAAATTTGAAATCTGCAAAAAATTTTTGCTTTAAAACAATATGTATTGTAAAAAGTGAAAACGTATTTTAATGTATTTTTATTGTCTATTCACTTGATATGCAAAACATTCAGGAGAGCTGTTAGATCAATATATATATAT